CTTTACTAGCCAGGCCAAAAGGAGTACATTGCCTTAAAAAAATATCATAATCTAGTGAGAGAGACAGAAAGTAAAAAAAAAAAAAAAAGAATTACAAAATATTAAGAAAAGAAAATAGGGGGCCTAATATGGAGCTGCTCCTGCCCAGGGTACCATGTCATCAAGCTGACACTTAGATAACTTTTATGTCCCTATAGAGTTCTGCTTGGTCAGAAGTGCAGTATATTCAGTCAGCCAATCCCCAAACACCAAGCCAACTCTGGGCCTTCTCACCCCAAACAAGGTTGACTGTGTGGCCCCAGCCAATCCGATAATTTCTATTTATCTCTTGTTCTTTATTCTTTATTCTATAGCAGCTCTTGCTTTCTGCCCCATTTGATAGATCAAAAGGAAACTGCCCACTGCATGAAGTGATCAATGTAGCTTGAATCACCTGAGTTGTCTTCAATAATTTTTTTAAGTTTTTTTTTTTTGTGTGTGTGACAAAGTACATTGTAAAACACCACAAAACTCCCAACCCAGTAGCACAGCCTTCTCAGGCATTAATTTCACTCCAAAAGACCCAAAAACTTAAAGTAATTGGAATCCTGAACTGACTGCACCACATCCTAGCACAGCTGTGGGCCTGGATGCTGTAGCTATCTACAGAAATGACAAAACTTTCTAAGACCGAGTCTAAGACCACCTAGGACCTAGGTCCGACCTACACTTACAGTGACCATTATGGGGAATGTTCCAATTGGACATGCACTTTAAAGCAAGGATTCTCAAACAACATAAAAATGGGATACCTATTTTGACTGGAATGCAGAAGCCTCAAAAAGCTTCAAAATGCCAAAACAGTTTCATTGCAAAAGGCTAATGAGAAACTGATGACATGAGAGGAACTATAAGACTGACTTGACTCCTCCTACTCCTTCCCATCTTCCTTCACCTGAGTACCCACTACCCTCTTCTGAGTTGCCTTTCCGCGCTGAGGAGACCACAAGGCAGTAAGCCAGTGGTTCTCGACCTTGGCTGCACATTAGAATCACCTGGGCCTCCGGAATGAGGCCCAGAAATCAGGAGTTTAAAAAAATTCCCAGGTGATTCTAACGTGCAGTCAAGGTTGAGAACCACTGAAGTAAGCAAAGCCACTCAGTTATCTGGCAGCTGCAACAGGTTCAAAATCAGAACCCTAAAAACACCTGGGCCTCCCGATTTGCACGCTCCTATTCGTCCATCATCAAAACACTGGCTCAAAAATCTGTGTGTCAATTGCACTCAAACAGGATGCTGGAAAAAAGATCTGCTCAAAGCTTTTGTTAAATCCTTTCACACCAACTAAATGCCCCCCCCCCCCCCATCTATCCTGGAAGGAGGGCCCCTCCCAGTGCTGGTGGCACTCCCAGGGATTCCCCAGTAAACTGCTATCATTTATGCCCTTAAACAGCCAGGGGAAATTAAAATGAAAATTAATGGAACATCCTGCCACATTCTGGTAGAGAGTGGGGCTACGCTCTCTACTTTAAACCCCACTCACTTTGGAACTTGCACATGGGATCCTAGGAAAACGGCGGAAGCCATAAAAGGGTGAGAATTCTTACCAGAGTCAGCTCTTCGGGATCTCTGTAGCGTCGGGTTGAGAGAGGAAGGTAAAATTTCAAGCGGTCCCTTTCTTTCCAAATCCTGATCCACTGGTTGTTCCCCCCTTACTCCCCTCCAACAACAATTGCTTTTCGGCACAACATGTAGCCCATAAATGGAAACACATTTCCCATTCCTGTCTTCCACCCCCAAATTTAGCGCCTTTTCCATCTTAACTAAGCACATATCATACACTGTGGTCATACCTTTTGCAGTTTGAAGTGCGACAGCAAAACAAGCACAAATTTTTTTTTCCTTCACCACAATTTCACAAATAGAAGACTCATTCTTACTGCAGATCTTAGCAACCTCAGCATACGATTTTTTTCTTTCCTTATCAAGTCAAGAACTTTCACCTTTCACTCAAAGGAAGCACTTTACAGCTTCTCTTTGGCATATCTGAATTGCCCGCCTCACTACTCTTACACTTTGGGGCCATTACTAAGTAAAATAAGTGTTCTTTGAACACAAGCACTGCGAAACCTCCACAGTCGGTCAGATAACCTGGATGGCTACTAAGCGACTAAGGGGCAGGAGGGTACGTCCAGGAGACACGATTCACGTCCAGGGGGCAGGACAGGCCAGGACCCGCGAGATTTCATCACGCTGCTCAGGACGGTGTGCAATTTAAAACTCATGAATTGTTTATTTCTGGATTTTTTCATTTAATGTTTTCATACTGCAGTTGACCACAGATAACTGAAGCTGCAGAAAACAAAATTGTGAAGGGGGGGGGGGGCTACTGAATCCTTAGTATTTAAGATTTGGGGGCTGAGTATTACATTTTTGCTGATTGCTTCTCGTTAAGACCCTAAAATGTTTTCTCAGATTGGGTTATGTCCACTGTTAGGTCGCTGAAGGAGGAACGCACGAGGCCAGAGTGGTGAGGGATTACGAACTTATTCGATCATCCGCACACCAGGTGTCTGAGCCTGGATGGCTCCAGCACCCAGTGAGGGGAGCCAGCGGCTTTTAAAGGACTTTTGGCGGGCTTTTTCTGGGCGGAGCATTCTTTGTGCACACCCGGAGGGGAGATCATGGAATGTGGTCGCTGCAAGTGAAATGAGGTCTCTGCAAAGGGAACGTCCATGGTGAAATGGCCTGAAAAGCCAGTTCCTGGGGGAAGGATTTAAACTCAATTGCTCCATCAAACCTAACATCCACTATCAACTTGGCGGCTTTACTTAGCAAATATTAAGCACCTACTGTGTACCAGGTATTGTTTTAGGAGCGAGGGATACCGTGCTCTCAGAGAGCCATGTTCCGGTGGGAGAGATAGACAGCAAACACACAGATGTGTATGCCAGTTTGTGAAAAGCATTATAAAGAAAACAGCAGGGGAAGGAACAAAGAGAGACGGACCAGGGGTGCTTCCCTTCCATTTCTCCAGAGGTCTCACTTTCTGTTTGTACCTCAGGACTGGAGCAAGTGGTTTCCTTGTCTGGATCCCCTGCGTCCTCCTTTAAACCCTCCCTTTTGCTTGCTTTCCTCTTCCTCTTCTTCATGCTCAGCCCCAACCCACTTCCTTAGGAGGCCTTCTCTGGGCTGTCAGGAGGGAGCAAGTTCTTTTCATGGAGTCACAGCGCCTGAGGTTCTTCCCAGACATTCACAGGGGCGGGTGGATGAAGCCTTTAATGCCTTGTCCCCTCCAGACTGTAAGCTCGTGTGTGCCTCCTTCACTGTCAGAGGAGCTACCCAACAAAGAAATGTTGGCTGTCTGGCTAACTTGCAGTGTGCCAGACTAGTCAATTAAGTAGATAAGACCCTTCCCAAGCCTGTTTACAAAATACTGTGCTTAATCTTTTTAAAAAAATATTTTAAAATATATTTCTTTATTGACTTCAGAGATGAAGGGAGGAGAGATAGAAACATGAGAATCACTGATTGGCAGCCTCCTGTACCCTCTCCCCCGCCTTCCCCCCCACCCCCCCTCACTGGGGATGGAGCCTGCAACCCAGGCATGCACCCTTGGCCAGAATCGAACCTGGGACTCTTCAGTCCGCAGGCTGACGCTCTATCCACTGAGCCACGCCAGCTAGGGCTGTACTTAATCTTGTAGGCCATTTAAATGACTTTGGCCAATTTTTTTTATAGGAAGATTAATCTCCATAATTTTGTTTCATTTGATTATGAATATCAATACTAGCTTATGATGTCATTTTCACTTCACTTTTACAATCTTTACTCTTGGAAACCTGTGCTGACTGAACTAGTTTTAAATGAATCATCTTTCATTTATAAAAGATTGAGTCATAAATAGGCAGAATCAACCCATGCTTTTATTTCCATTGCATATAAAAATTTCATATGAAGGTATTGATGTACAGTACTATCCCCATGGGCTGTAAGAGAGGCTAAGAAACCACTAAAAGAATCATCATTTATAATGCTCACACACAATTTACCATTCTGAAAACATTATCTAATGAAATAAAAAACAACTAAAATCAGTAAGGATGTGTTTTTGTAATTATAGTGTCCCCTTGTACTGTTTAAAAAACAAAAGTAATCAAATTCCTTTGGGCCAGGGCTGCTAAAATCTACAGTTTGTGTCAAAAAAAGAAAACAAAATAACAGGAGGCTCATTTTTCCTAAAAAGAGAATCTCTCCTTTCACTAAGTCACATTTTCTGAGGGCTGGGCAGTAGTGGAAGAAGGTTTCATCATCCACTGTGTCATAGCGTTGGGAGCTGGCCATTGTGAAAGGTTATGTTTTAAAATTCTAAAGCAATATAAGTTTTGCAGAAACAAATTCTAGAGAATGATAAACCCTTTATGCTATGTCAACTGCTACCATATAAAACATATCTTGTACATCGTACATATGGACTCACATATTAAAAATTTGGTTGACTTCAGTTGAAGAAAATTTCCAGGGTTAAAAAATGACCTTTTTCATATTATATATTCTCTTAACATGACAGGAAGCTGACGAATAAAGGACTAACCAGCACTCAAGACCTTTGGCTCTGGTTTCAAATCAAGTTCATTTACCTATGTGCTCTAGAAGCCAAAAATACTTCTTATAATCATGGGACAATATATTTTCCCAGTAGTGTTTGAAAGCAGAAAACAAATGTGGCTAACCAAAGTAGCTCCTGATCAACAGATGGGGAAAACCGTCACCACATAAACAGTGCTGCTTCATGGCAAGAAGTTCTTAAGCTTGTATCTCAAAAGGGTCTCAGAATCTTCCAGAGGTTGTCTGTGGTTTTGTAAAATCCAGCCACTGCCAGAAAACCAACTGATTCAAAGCTTGGATGTGACATGCCCAGCCCTAGCCCCACCATAACCTTACTTTCAAATGCAGCAAAACAGAAGAAAATATTGGTTAAAGTTAAGGCACAGCCCTGGGACCAAAGACCTGCAGCTATGTTTTTTTTTTTTTAAATTTATATATCTTTATGTATTTTATAGTTTTTTTCTTGAATTTTCCATAAACAAGCTCTAAGGTGACAAGACTATATTACAGGAGAAAACAAAATGTACAAGGAGTATGTATACACACCATTCATTCTCTCACCAAGAGTTTCCAAATATATCAACACCATCCCATCATGGGATGATGTTTTAATAAGAACCGATAATTTACAATTAACATTACAATATGTACATTACAATAAATACATGGTTGTAAACAGACAAACAAGACTGTATTACAGGTAAGGTCATTTGGTGAGAAAAAAAATGCATGGCACAAAAAAATAAATAATGCATTCAAAAATTATCATAAAGCTTTCTGTGAAATCCATTTCATTCAAGTTTTTTTTCCCTTATCTGCAATTTGTTCTATCTACATTATTTTCTTGTGAATTTTAAGTGATGTAAAAGAAAATAAAATCAAAACAGCATTACTATGTTTAGTAACTTGCAAGCTGAAATGTACTGGTTATATGCAAACTTGGAATCTTTTCCCCATACAGTACCCAGATATTGCATTTTCTTATGGCATTTTAGGAAATGTAAAGCCACTTGTGAAAGGATGTTATTTTTAAAGCGGTGTATGATACTGAAGCACACTTGGGCAAGAGAGAAGGAGATCAAGGAGGAGGAAGGGAGAGGATCAGCAGATCGTACAGTGCATTAGTCCCTGTCTCTTGGATAGTACGCACTTTCTACAATTTGATTGTCAATCAGTGGGTACCCTCACAACATGTGACCATTAAAACCCAACAAATGGGGAAAAAAACCCCTCTTTTTTTAGTGCAGTTATAAACCCTTTCAGGTCTGGATTTGTTTGTGACATATTGCTGCTTTAATTTTTTTTGTTTTTCACTATTAAGATTCTAGGCACTCTGTGGGGAAAATACCAAGTATTAGGGAGAGGAGGGAATGAGACTATTTTGGAAAAAGGAATAAACCCTAGATTCTTTGTCATTTCTTCTAGACCTCCATTAGGGAGAAATGAAATTAAAACAAGTTTCCAAGTGTTCTTGTGAAACCATCTGGACAAATATAGGACTTTGTCTCAAAGGTTACTGTCTGGTCTTTACAGGGAAAGGAGGGTGGAGATCTGATCATTAATCAGTTGATTCCTGCTCTGCTCTGTGTGAAGATCGGAACTACACAGGTTTTCCCTCAGGGGATCTCAGGGGATTAAAACAGGAGCTATCTTCAGCACAGGCCATTTTTCTGGCTGATGACTTTGTTATTCATCCCCAGAAGGCTTCCTGCCTTCCTAAATATCAATGTTTTTCAGGGTTACACTTTTCGTTAAGTGTTTGTTTATTTCCCATTTAGTCAGACACCCCCCTTTAGTTCTATGCCAATTCTTAGATATCAATTTGAAAATGATTATTTGGGTTCCAATCTTTTCACAGAAAAGGTAAACACTTTGTTCAGAGCTAAAATGGAAAAAAAAGTCCAAAGTAAATAAATGCCCCAAGATGCCAACTGATGATAAATACTGGAAATTAATCTCTAAAATTGCAATAGTTCTTGGTGCCAAATTCAGCCAAAAGTGCTCTCTCATTTTTTTTTTTAATTTCAGCAGAATCTTTTTACTCAACCCAGTATTTTAGGAGGGCATTATATTACCAAACCACTGGTGCTAGTGGCATCATCAATGACTTTCCTTCAGGATATTACAGAAGTTCTCCTCTACAAGACCTACCGATGAACCAACGATAACCAATAAAGCAGTTTCTACATATTAAGTACTTGTCTATTAAGGAAGGGTAGTTCCTACATTTAAAATCACTTCTCCAGAATATTCCTTATATAGTTCTTACTCCCATGGTAAAATCATGGAAACAAAACGCACATTAGTTGTACTGGTGGTGTTCGTTAATATATTCTGCTAATATTGTTAACACTGCCTAACTAGCTGTTAGCTTTTCTCTGTAAATCAAGAGTAAAAGCTAGTCATTCTACATGACCTTGCAGTAGAAATGAATGCTAACCCTAACTTGACTATCTGCTTTTTCCCCATCAATCAAAATGGCAATGATATATTTGATAAGACCCTATCTAGTGAAGGTGGACAGAGGTTCAAACACACGCTAAATGATAGAGCAGCACAAGGGACAAAAGTTTTTCGTCCTATGACTGTGAAAACAATGAAAATGAGCATGACATATGTGGGTCATTACAAAGACATGCACTTGTGAAATGAGGGTCTACCGACATAGCAAAAAGTTATCAGAAGACATTACGTAGGAAAATATCTAAAAAAGACTGACCATTTTAGCTACTGGGTATTTATATATCTCTCACTTGCTTCAGACAACACCAATGGATGACTGAGTGTGCATGAGGCTTAAGACACATTAGAAAGAACGCACATCAAAGTATTACTGAACAAATATTCACTTTGCACACCATGAAGAAAAACAGTGAAGTGCAACTCTGCTTATCTGGAAAGAATGAAACAAAAAAAGTAAATGAAGACCTACAAAGTTTCCTGCAACATAAAATTTGCTTTTGTTTTGAAATATGGAAGTCATTGGTATGTAAAACAAGGAATCACTACAAATCAGTTAATTGCTATGAACTATAAGGTGCAATAAAATTCGGAAATTAGATTTCTCCAGTGTAGCACAGATTGGTACTGAAGACTTGCAAGTTACTCCTCAGAAAAAAATAACCAGTGGCAGATGAAGTTCTGAACATAGTTTTTTTTTTTTTTTAAATATAATACTTCAATACATTTAATAATAAAAGTAAGCTCTACAAAAATTCTGTTTTACATATCATACAAAATATAGAGGTCAGTGCAGCTCACTGGACCACACTATTCAGTCATGTATCAGGAAGACTTGAAATTAGAAAATTAGGCAATTTCTGTGGCTCATCTTCCTCCTGGTAACAGATTCGCGCTCTGTCCTGTTCCTGACCCATTTGTTGTTTCATTCACGAGTTCACTCTGTCTGTGTAATACCTTCTTTCTGCTGAAAATATTGCAAACAAATAAAAAGAAAAGAAACCCCAAGTCGTATCAACTTCTGGGCTGCCTGATGAGCCACACTCCCTTGGAAATATTTTGGAATTGATTTTTCTCTGCTTTGTCAGCTCTACCAAGCTGACATCTTGTTAAAATGCTGTTCGTGAAGATGCCCCCCTCGGTCTGATGACATGGAGGTGAAAAAACTGGTTACAATATTCCTGAGCTCCAGACTGAGTAGTCAAGGTCAGTTTTGTTCAACAAACGTCCTGGCAGATGACAGTGAGGTGTGACCATGGTTGTGGCATGTGACATGCACTTTGGAAACAATTTTTTCTACTAAAAAAAAAAAAGGCATGAACATCCTTTGCACTGTTACGTGTCGGGAGAGCGATCATCGATGACGCAGGCTTCGGGCTGGCTTTCCTCCTCGTCCCCCACTGCTTCTTCTTCGACCTGTTCGTCAAGGGGAACCTCGGTCGACTCTGAGTCTTGAGTGCAGAGAGTCTTGGAGTCACTGCAGCTAGTGTCTTCTTCTACTTGACTTCCACTGTCCTTTTCAGTGTCGGACTCGCCATCCTCCTCTAAAGTGAGTTCAAACTGGAACTTCTCAGTCTGACCCTGCCGGCCCTCCTCCTGGTCGTCAGGTGCTGGGGAGGGGCTCTGAGGAATTGTGCTCTGGTACCATTCACGATTGTCCTCCAAAGTGTCCAAAATGTCCTGGGCATCGGGATGGACAAGGTCTGCCCACGTCTCCCAGAGGGGGTGAACGATATAGTCTATGAAGCCCACCTAGTTAAAAAGAAATCCAGTTTGAGTATAGGACTTGGGACGAAGAAACTATGGAAAAGGTTAACTAGATCCCACATATATATCCGATTTATATCAATTTATAGATATAACCTAAAATTTAAATAGAAACACATAAAATATAACATGGCCTGCAACTACAACACTGAACAGAAGACTATTTACTTTGGTAAAACAGTCACTGTTTTAGGCAACGGTGAAAATTAGCTTCTAGACCTTTTTACAACATAAAAATCCTACAGCTGTTTACATGGTAGGGCTTGGCTTGAGGCCTGGACTTCATTTCAGAATAGCCAGTAATAGGTAAATCGAGATAACTGAAATATTGTCATGTATCCCATATGAATTCATATAACCGAATTCACTTATAAATTCAGATAAACTGTCTCTATACCTATGAATATACTATGTGAATAATAGTCATTAATGAATATAATGCCATAAGAACATACAAGTGACTACAGGACTATAGATCATAAGAATAAAAGAGTCTTTTGAGTTGTAAAGACTAATGTGCAATTGAGCTTGCAAACATCAAGCACTCATGTGAAAACCACTAAAATACTGTGTGATGTGGACACAATGGAATCCAATGTTCAAGTTACTGTTTTGCTCTCTCGGAAAGCTTTGTGCGTAATGCGTCACCTGTGATTTCTCCACAGATGCATTGTGCTTGTCACACATGGGACTTATCTCCATGCCCCGCTCCCGCTCGCGGTCTCCTTGGCGGAAGAACTCCTCCATTATGCGGTCCGTCCACTGGCGGTACAGCTGCAGCGGCTTTGTCGGGTTGCTCAGGTCCGCACAGTGCACCATATTCTGGAGGACCTAAAACAGACAAATGCATTCTCGACTCAGCACCTGTTCCTTTTTTCCCTTTTTTACTAGAAATTCACATTTAATGACTGCGACACTTAAAAATAGATGTTGTGTAAGACTCATTCCAAATAGTTCAACCGTGATGTGTCTATGTGTGGTTCACACTTATATTAATAGTCCAAAGTTATGACACCTCTACTGCATCTAAATACCAAGAGCTGCTTATGTGCATGGCTGATTAAATTCAGAGCTGCTTAAGTGGCTGGTTTTGTGGGATGTCAGGTGTTTTTTTTTTAAGTGCATATGCAAATGAAAAGACTAAGCTGGTTAATTCTTAAGTTGGGAAAAAGGAGACATAAATTTTATCAAAGCTAGACACACAGACACATGAGAAAATTCAAGTCATGCTTTACCTGAATTCTGTCAGAATAATTATCAAGAAGAAGAACTCCAGAACTGGTCACTTTCTTAGTTTCAACCATAGTTTTCAAATCAGCCAGTAGATTCATGTGTTTTGACATGTCTGTTGCAAGTACCTTAAAAGCAAGGAGTATTATATTAAGTAAAAAATGTCCAGAGGAAAAAAAGAATTTGCAAATAAAAGTACTATGCAGAATGTGAGAAGAAAGGGAAAACCACTCTGTCCTCTAACAGCGTGTATGGCAATTCTTTACTATGTCTTGGGGCAGAGTCCTTTCCTCTTTGTTGTCAAGTTTTCTGGAAGCCCAGATATATGTGTGCAATATACAGAAATGTTAGGCACTGATAACCACTTTTGTGACAGAAAAAAAGGCATATCCATGATTAAGACATCATTACATATTTTTCCCATTCCTTGGACTAAAAAATGGTTAGTGAATGCTGATGAACTGATTCAAGACTGCTCACAGAGAACTTCAGAAAGAGAATATTCTGGGCAATTTTCTGCTTATTCAAGACAGATAATTCTTTCCTTTGTATATACAAAGCTTAAGAGAATGAATTTTTTGATAACCAGAGATTTTCCCATGTCTCGTAATCACTGTGAATAATATGCATAGAGAAAATATTAAAATCATGGATGTTTTCTAAATGGCACTCTGATGGAGTCCCCCCGTTTTGAGTGGAAAAAAATTCAAGCTATGGTCAGCACCCTCTACTCTTGTAGGTCATCTTTCTGCCTTCACCAGACCAGAGGAGTTCAGAAAATAAAGCTTGAATAAGGAGGGTAAGCTGTCATTATTCCTTTTTAAAAATTTTTGTTACTGATTTTAGAGAGAGAGAAAGAGAGAAAAACATTGATTTGTCGTTCCATCTATTAATGCATTCATCGGTTGATTCTTGTATGTGCCCTGAATGGGATCAAACCCACAACCTTGGAATATCACAACGATGCTCTAACCAGCTGGGCTACCCGTCATTATTTTTAACTTTAAACTGCTAGAAGTAGAAAACCTATTACAGAACATCAGGGACAGCTTCTCAAACATAAAGGGGCAGCAATAGGATTTGAAATATACAGTTCCTTTCATTTAATATTCATTTCCCCCCCCTTTAACAGTTTGTATCACAGCTTTCTTTTTTGCTTTTATCAGTTACTTACAATGTCAATGACCATTTTTCTTAATGATTGTCTTTGCTTTTTGGTCAAATTCTGGAAAATGTCACAGTTTTCTTCTTGAAGCAACTTAAAGCCCACAGCCAAATGATGGTTCTCCAAGACAGAAGAATCATTGTACATCAAGGCAAGTTCAGAATCTTAAAAGAAAGACAAGAGACAAGAAGATTAGCAAAGCCATTTATTCTAAGTTTATTTTATTCTTCATATTCTGGGATAACTTTTGGTTTAGAGCTCAATTTCCCCTAAACATCTCTGCTGGCCTTACCATACATGACAACACCAAGAAGGCAATGTATCAGTTACTGTAACAGTGGCAAGAGCAATGGCATCGGGGGAGTGAATTCTAACATAAATGACACGTGGCAAGTCATTTCACACCCCGTGTGTCTCAGCTTTCTCTTTGCTAAAGTGAAAGCAGAACTGAACAGATAGTTCCTCCCCTCCAGATCTGCCATGGGTTGCTCCATAAGCTCAGTAGAATATGGCATTATTCTTAACATTTGCAACATGCCCAAAGCATAAGGCGCTGTATTCCTGATAACTGTGCATCACCGACCCAGCATTTTATATAACGTAAGGATCACGTGACTTAGGATTGTTTGTGTTCAGAGAGGGGACAAGAACAGTTTGGAACACACAGAGAATGTTCGCTTTGTTCATGTTGTTCTTATTTTCATCCACAGGATAGCTTTGAAAGTAGAGGCTTTATTCATTTTTCCACTTTCTTTTCCAAGTACTGTGGCAGTCACTGTAAACAGGTATACTGCCCTTTCTACCTGAGCACTCGTGGCTTCACACAGAGAAGGATATCAGGCTGCCCACAGAACCGCACGGTGAAGATTCTGCCGCCCTCACTACTGCCCTGGGCCTGTGTATTTTAGGCAGTGAGAGGTCCTGCCTCCTTACTAGTTCCTGTAAATACCGTTTAGACCCAGGTCTGTAAGATAGTCATTAAAAAATTGGTGCTATTAACTGTTTCCACTTAAGTCCTTGTAAAGACTAAAAGTGCATGTGTTTGATCTTTTTACTGACTCATGCACAGAAAATACATTTGGAAATATATATTCTTTTCTAGGAAAGAAATACTCAATACTTCTTACTGAATATTTTAAAGGAGCGAGGGAGGAGAAGTGAGGTTCAAGACATATTTCTACTGTGAAATCTATGACTTCAATAATACTATAGAAATAGGAATTTACACATTGAAATATCTGTTCCCAACTACAAAAACAGAGATGTCTAGAGTACCAGGCAATGCATATGTATGGTATTACTTATTGTCTTTCTTTTTTTATTTTTTGACAAAGCAATAGTATTCATGTTTTAAAAGTCAGTATATGGTCAGTCTGACTTTTAAATAGTCTATAAAAGCATCTAATTATGAATATTTATCCATAGACAGTTAAACATATAGAAATAAAAAAATTTAAACTATAAAGGATCTTAACATATTATCGTTTCTATAGTGGAATCATATTAAATAACATATACTGAAAGGAAGTCACAATGTTTTCCAAGTGGAAGGCATAATACATTTTCTAATTAATCTATTACAGTTCTTTTAAGGGGCCAAATGTGTATGTGGATCAGGGGATTAACAGAAGAACTGACCCGGATTAATCTATATGCCCTGTGAAGAAAGAGAAAAGAAATTCAGGCAATTGAGCTTGCAGAATAAAAGATGAGGAGCTGTTACTTGGAGGAGGCAGATCTGTGGTCTGAACTTTGAAACAAAGAATCTGAATTCTACTCAAGGTAAGGATGGCCTTTCACAGAGAAGGTTGTCTAGCCCCCCAAGCCTGCCTCGGTAGGCGGTTAGCTCCGGACATGTAACAAGAGTCCTGACTGGCCAGAAAGACCATGAAATGATTCCTAATTAGACTGGTGGGCCTCTACTGCCTCTCTAATCTCTGAGGCTGCTACAAAAAGGTGGCGGTGACTGCTGCGTTTTAAATGAATGCATGTTAGCATTTAAGCAACCTGTTTCTACTCTTCTTTGGAGCTGAAGGTGTGTGGTCACGTCTAAAGGGGAGTAAGATTCTGTAGTTCTTGAGTAGATTTTGAAGAAGCAGAGGTGTACACGGAGACTCAGAATCAGCCGGGGGAGGTCCGGGACCGCTCTACCATGCAAAGCCTGCAACCTCATGGCGCCTTTGTAGCCTCCTTCAAATAGGGAAGGTGGCTGCCTCACTATGGGCTTATAAATTTGAGGATTAGAAGTCTCTAGGATTCTTTATTACAGGAAATGTAGATGAAACCTTTGGCACTGAACACGTTGCCAGCACCAGCTCTACGGGGCTAAGTGTGCTAGTCTGAGCCGTGGATGCTCAATCCATGAAAGAGAAACATAAACTTAGTGTCTACATAAAAAAGGGTTTACTGCAAATAAAAATAATCACATAGTTTTGAGTGTATCTCACAAAGTTATTTATTACAAGTTTACAAGTTATTAGAGGGACTCATTATAGCAAGCTGTGAAGTTAAGACTTACAGTATTTGTGCTACTGGCTACTAGGCCTCTTCTGTTTCCGAAGTGGAGTGCTTGCTGGCATGATCCCTAGTCAGAAGCTAACTAGGGCAGTCATTCTCACAATGCCCTGGGCTCTGATCAACCCTGAGCTACTTCCATTACCAGGTGATGCTGCTGATTCATTCTCTCAGGAATAATATGGCCTCATCACACCCCACCCTCCAGGAAACATCAGTGATCAAAGTTCCTCTGGGAACGGTCCACCTCCCAGTGGTCCCGCAGAAAAGAGATCATCACTACATTACTGAATAACAACATACTTACAAAAACAGGGTTAGTTATCCTTCACCTCAAGCAAGTCATCAGCAAAATGACCTTACACAGACACCCTTGGCCACTGTCACTGTATTCCTACTTCTCCCCTAAATTTCTCCATTATCTGTCTCAATGGGTCTCAAACTTTGGAGAGCATCAGATTTGTCTTTGAACTGAAGAACAGCTTCAGTTACAGACTCCACGGTACCCTGACGCTTGCCAGAGTCCTCCAGTGCCAGCCAAAGCCTGTTTGCCCTTTGAGGGTCCATAATAAAGAATAAAGCTGGTCCTCATTTCAAAAAAAAACTATCAGAATACTTGGAAACAGTGACTTTATTACCAGTTGTTTTATTTTTTTTCTCTAATCTATTCTTAATTCTAATGTTATGATAAGGGAATCTACAATATTATATATAATAGGGTGAAAAAAACCATACCAGTCTGAATTTTGGCCATTATTAATTTAAATAAAAAATATGTATACCTTTCTTTAAGGCAAACATTAAATTTAAACAAAACTTTTATGAATGAGGAGCATATCAAGACACACCTAACAATCAAAATAATAAATCAGGCCAGGCTAAGGGAAGTATCAGGGTACAGTGCACTCTGTAACCACCCCGAGCTTCTCAGAAAGGACAGTGGATCCTAAGCCCTGACACAATGTGAATGCAGGCAGCTGCATCTAATGTGAATCACATTTATGTGTTAATATTTAGTTACGCTTTGGTGGTTCCTGAAGGAACTCTATTATAGGTTCTTATAAGGTAGCTGGAATATGAAATGTTACCCTGTCTGATCTTGGATAAGTGAGTTCGTGAACCAAAATTCTAAAATGTACTGGGAAATCCATGATTTTCCCAGTCTTCCTATACTAGTATATGAGTGAGTCACTAAAGGACAGTTTGTCATAGGGTAGTCCAGAGGCTATTCAAAGATACAAAAACAGAGCTAAATATTCTAAAGATCTGAGTTAAATCTCTCTAAGCAAAGCTACATTTAAAAATCTCATTTTAAATCTGGCTGCAGCACAGGCTGTGCAATGAAAGCTGAATGCATGGAGACTACAGAGCATGAGGAGGCTCTTATCCACAAACTCATGGCAAAAACAAAACAAAACAACAAAAAAATCAGCATTACGCCCTAAGGGATACCATAATAATATTCAGAACTAAATTACATTAAGACACACTCTCATTAAAATGCATGTTTACACATTCCAAAAGAACTTAATGGCTCTGGAAATACCCCAAAGTACATAAAGACTCCCATTCTAAAGTGCAGATAAAAGAAATATTTTCTGCAAAAATAAATTTAACTCTACTTACTTGTATTGATCAGAAACTGATTGGACACACCAGGATGATCTACATCATGTATTGCACTGGCAAAAATTGCTGCAAGAATCTCCAAATCTGTAAACACAGCCTGGAAAATCAGACAATATAGATAACATCACTATTCTATAATAACACATATTCAGGTTTAAACAAATGGAAAATTACTTCCTAGAATTTGATGGAAAAATAAAATGAAGTTTTGAAATATATTATGACTAGTGGCCCTGGGCACGGATTTGTGAACATTGAAAGGAGATTAATTAGAAGGTGGCCGGTGGGGCAGGACTGGGCGAGAGGGCTGGACACGCCCTGGAGCCAACCTCCAGCGGCCCCTCCCGGCGTCTGTGGAGTGAGCTGGGTCCCTGTGGCAGGTGGGGTCCCTTGGCTTGGCCTGTGGGGACCTGGCAGAAACCAGCTCTCCAACATCCCTCGAGGGGTCCCAGAGTGCGAGAGGGCACTCTGCAAAGTTGCTGTCATACAGGGTGTGGAACGCAAACGCAAGTGTGCGGTAAACCAGGTTGAGGGCCAACAGTGCCCCAGCAACAACATAACCCACGACTGAAGGTGGAATCGCGCGGCCCCGCGAGGAATCGGGCTCCCTCCTCTCTGGTTTTGGGGTGTGTCACCTGAGAACTGCAGCTGCCAAATCACTGCAGCTCAGCAGTTCCTGCGTTGAGCGTCTGCCCCGTTGGTCAGTGCACATCATAGCGACTGGTTGGACACAGCATATCAGCCCTTTGTACAGAAGATAATGTTTTGGGAAGAGTTCTATAGATAAGGAGTTACTCGTGAACTTTGAAGAAAATATTTTACCTAATATTATAATTTATGATAAAAAATTTCCCATTGATTTTTAAGTATTAAAAAGTAATATCTGAAATTGTTTTCTACTCAAATCAGGGTTTCTCAACTTCAGCAGAATTCACATTTTTGGGCCAGATAATCTCTGTTATGAAAGGCACTCTGTATTAAAGGAATTTTAGCAGAATCCCTGGCCTTTCTCATGAGATGTCAGTAGCATGTACCCCTCAGTTGTGGCAGCCAAAAGTGTTTCCACATATTACCAAATGCCCATGGGGAATGGGAGGAGAAGGAAAAGGAAGGAATCACTCCCAGTTGAGAACCACTCACTCAAATGATGAAATATCAACATAGTTTTATGATGAAAACACTCTGAACTATCCTAGATAATAAAAGGCTAATATGCAAATCAACTGAACAGTGGAACAACTGGTCGCTATGATGTGTACTGACCACCAGGGGGCAGACGTTCAATGCAGGAGCTGTCCCCTGGTGGTCAGTGCACTCCCACAGGGGGAGTGCTGCTCAGCCAGAAGCTGGGCTCATGGCTGGCGAGTGCAGCGGAGGTGGCGGGAGCCTCTCCGGCCTCTGCGGCAGTGCTAAGCCGTCAGTCAGACATCCCCCCACGGCTCCTGGACTGCGAGAGGGCACAGGGTGGGCTGAGGGCTGAGGGCTGCCCCCCCCCCCCCGTGCACAAATTTCATGCACCGGGCCTCTAGTAAAATATATTAGAAAAAAAAATATTTCCCCTAACAATTAAGAAAATAAAATTGCTTAAATAACAATTTAATGAAACAACTTCAAAGGATTTGGTAAAATTGAAGTGTTTCCTTGTAATCAATTCTATGAAAAACCTCAATACATTGCTTATATTTTAAAATAATCATCCTTTGAACTATACATGTAAAAGCCTTCAGACTACATTCCAGAAAAACAAACAAACTAAAATGATATAAGCCAAACAGATGTGCTTTAAAGAATGTCCATTAGGTAATTTCAAGAAAGCAGTGTCATAAACAGATGAATCCCTAAATCGCTGGTCAACTTTCACAAACAAAATCATCAGACTATTTATTTACCACATCTTTTACTTTATAACTCAATATACTTCCAATGAAGCCAATTATTTTCTGCACTGCATACTCTTTAGCATACAAGTTTAAGGGCCCTTTATGAGTGACAAATTAGTGTTCTCAGTTTTAGAAACCAGATTTACCTCCAAAGCAGGTGTAGATAACAGCACATGCGTCGACTGGACCACGTCTGCAGCATGAATATTGTTGTGGTAGGCCACGTCAGCGTGGTAATGGTCTTCCAGGGTCATAAGGTATGTAACTAAAGTGTCTACTGGAATTTTAAATGTTTTCAATAAATCCCGTTCCTGAAGGAAAAGAAATTCTATTAACATTTGTCCTTACAAAAAAGGTTTTCCATAGAGTGTGTCAACAAAAAAATCACACCCAGAAATGGAAATAGCGCTCTCATAGTATCTAGTGAGGAAATGGAAATCTTTGGGAAGATCCAGGGACTTCAGGGATAAAACCAGAGTTGAGTTGTCCTTCTGAAGCCCAATAGTGCTCAACCCAAGATGTGTGGTGTGAGGAATGAGCTCCCAGTTCAGAGTGTCTGTGTCCCAAGATCATGAAGTCAGCCTCAGTCTAGCGCCACTGACTCAGCCACTAGATCACATCAACTGAAATGTAACATCCTTTCTAGGGCTGGAATCTGCCGTTCCAGTCCAGGGGGTACCTACAGACTCAACTCCTCATTTAAATCCTAACCCTGCGCTGGAACAGAAGCAGCTCAACAAGAGTGAGAAATTGATATGGAGAAAAGCAGTACACAAAACCATGAAGAAATTACGATTGGTGAGCAGAGGGGTGGATTCAGTTTTTATGGTTAGTATTCCATTCTCTGTGTGAGTCAGGGTCATGTGGATGACTTTTAAACTATTATTTTAATGAATTGCTTCAATTTTCCCACATCATATCTTTTCTTTAAATGGGAAAAAATTAACAACATTGGTTTATTTGTATTTTACCTACACTTCAACCTTCCTGTATTCTTATTAATCCCTAGGTAAAGGGGCAAATCTGAAAAAAGTCCAATATATGCAAAAGAGGGTGAGTAGTAAAGAAGACACAATGCATGCACAATTCACAGACTGGACATTAAGGCACAGAATGAGAGGAAAGGTGATAGGACCACATTACCTGAAAGATGGTGTGCATGATAACAGTCAGCGGCCGGTTACCAGACAGCTCTGCTATTCTGAAAACATGAAGACCCCATTTGTTCACCTCTTCTAGTTCCTGGGGTTAAAGAAAGACAGGAAAATTAGAAAGCAGAGGTAGAACATAATTTTACAGATACTTTTTATATTCATGTAAAAATTACTGATTTTAATAAAAAGATTGTTAAACTTAAAAAAAGTGATTCATTTTAAATATAATGGATGCACCATGTAATTAGGGGAAACTTTAGGCAGATTCACTTGAACATACTAAAAACTGAATAGCATTGCTTAACCTCGTGTCTTTGACAATACAACATTTTGACATGCTTTCAATATAAATTTCAAAGCATTTCTTCAATAGATAAAATCCAGTCACAAAAACCTTAACTATTCTCCTAAAACTGGAAGATTTAATAAATAGATTTCTAACTTTTTAATGTTAAACAATCAAACGTAGAAGCAAAAAAGGAAAGAACACACATCACAAACTACCTGTGTAAATCCATGTATTAATAAAACCCAAATAATTTAGAAAGTTGTATAAAGTGCGTTCCTATCTTAATAAAACACACCCCATAAATTAATAACTTGTCCATTTACTAAAAGAGAAGGAATAAAAATTCATTAAAAGGCATTGTTACATACTGATGCTCACAATTCTTGACATTTTTCTTACCTTGGCAAGGACGTCTTCTTGTTCGGTTTTAACCCCAAACCTCGGGATGCTTGAATTAGTCAAACTGGAACTGTGCATCAACTTCTTGACCCCACTAATCTGAGACATTGGCCTTTTCTTTTTCTCCTTTTCCTTCTGAGTCGGAGAAGGAATTTCCACTTCATGTTGCTTATCTTAAAAATAGAGAAAATATTCTACACTTACTATTAATTCTACCTGAGCTTTTTGTGTTTTTTCTTTTAAAATGTAACATATATAACTAGACAGGTTTTAATTTATCATTATATAATCCAGGAAATATTTCTAAGTAAAGATCCTTTTAGAGAAGTTGAATGTTTAAAACTTGATGTAGACTGAGTTTGATACTCAAAATAAATCAATCAATCAATCAATAAATAAATCAATCAATAAATAAATCCCAAGGCAGAATAATTTCAGCTTACTGAAATGGGTCCTCTGAATGACTTAGATTGCTTTCGCTATTTCACATTTCTATACTATAGTGAGCTAGGTGTTATGACGTAACAAGGTTTTGTGGGAAGCATGGAGAATCTCCAATATTATCTGATAAGCGACTATCAGTTTCACAAAAGCTATTTTCAAATAAAAGACACAAGATGCATCTGTATATTCATTCCCTATTTCAAGAGAGTGAGCTCCCCTAACTCATCCTTGCACGTAGTGTGTGCTCAATAAATGTCTGTCTAGTGAATGTGCTACTAAGATAATCAGCAATTTTGTTTTGAAAGTAAAGCCAAATCAAGGATATGTTCAAGTTGTTGACTTTCACTTACTGTATTTTATTTTCCTCTGGGAATGGGCGGTGGGAGTGGTGTTGTCCCAGTACACCATACCCTTAGCTATGGTTATCAGTAAGCTTTTCTTTAGCATTTATATTCTATCTGCCTCACCAGTTTACCAGGTGTGGTGTCCATTAGGCTATCAATCCATTGAGGACAGGGACCATTTCTAACTTATCATTAAATAGCTAGTGCCCAGCAATGACTGGCACTTAACAAGAATTTGTTGAATGTATGTACAGATCTCAAAAATACGTTTCATAGGTTAGTACTTTGAAAAAACTAGCAGTATGCAACTTTAATTCATAAAACCCCCAAAGTCCTGAATAAAACTAAAAGATAAAAAAATGCATTTTGTCACTTTAGGTTCTAAAATTTAGGAAGCTTAGAGGCTCAAATTATTAATATAATCAATGGAAACAAATGAAATTCATAACACTTGTTTGGTTTCCAAAATCAGTTGGTACTTTAATTCACCTCCAAAAACAAAAAACTCAAAAGAAAATTTAAAAGTTGCACTTTGTTATTCTCACCTAAGAATGTGTTTGATATATATTCCGACACTTGATTTCCAGATCTACTCATTTCAGAGAGATGGGTGAGCTCCCGATTAAGCATCCTTTTAAACTGAAAAACAGAAAGATTAAAAAAAAATAGATGAAAATTTAAGTGTAAGAATATAAGCATACACCAAGATACAGAAAATATGCCCAAATAATTGTTAAACTGTCCTGACACTCAAAAAAAATATATTTTTATTGATTTCAGAGAGGAAGGAAGAGGGGAGAGAGATAGAAATATCAACGATGAGAGAGAATCATTGATCTGCTGCCTCCTGCATGCCCCTACTGGGGATCGAGCCAGGCATGTGCCTATTTATCCAAAGAAACCCTGGAATTTACCTACCACAACATAGCATTCAACACCAGAATTCTCAGAGACGTTATGCTTTCCCATCCATCAACTGCTTCGCAATGTCTTCCTTTGACTCCCAAAATTTCCCAGTTAGCCCTTTTAAGATACCTTTATATGTCTCTTAACATACAGGAAAAAAATATTTTTCTATATATTTAGAGTAACTATACTATTAGATACTTGATCGAAAAAAATCCCGTGTATAGTTGCCCTTACAATTTTGAATTTCACCATAAATTATCATCTAAGTCTGGGGGAAAGACAGTAGTGAACTTATCATTTAGTAATGTTTAAAATATAATTCTAACTCAGTATTTAATCTGTTCATTAGAATTAAAAAATCTCACTTCTCTGCAATGATTCATACCAAGGTATTCTAACTCAAGATAATCTGGCAAATTACTTACAAAGTCAATCTTACTGTCCATCTAAATTAGGTATAAGAATTTATCACCACAAAGCACTGAAGAAGATCAATGAAAACATTTCAAAAGACTACTGGATATGAGAAATTCTTTTTTTTTTTTTAAATATATTTTATTGATTTTTTACAGAGAGGAAGGGAGAGAGATAGAGAGTTAGAAACATCGATGAGAGAGAAACATCGATCAGCTGCCTCCTGCACATCCCCCACTGGGGATATGCCCGCAACCCAGGTACATGCCCTTCACCGGAATCGAACCTGGGACCCCTCAGTCCGCAGGCCGACGCTCTATCCACTGAGCCAAACCGGTTTCGGCGTGGATATGAGAAATTCTTATTAGCATTATCCTAAAGCCAAAACTGAAGAACTGGCTATACCAATACAAATTCTTCTGGTTGTTAATTTACAGGTACAGGGAGTTGTTCATGCATTTGTTTTTTTAAATAATTATCTCTGATCATAAAATACATGTGATATAGAAATGTATATAGAAAAGTAGAAATCATGTATAGCCCCACTGCTCAGAGATAACCATACATAATTAGCTACATTTCCTTCTATGCATTTAAAAAATTTGTATGGACGTATATCTTCAAAATTGGCATCATGTAGTATACAAGACATAGATTTCTGCTAATTTTTACTTAGAACAATATATTACGATTCATGGGGAAAAGTAAATTTTGGGGCCTTCTAAGAGTATTTATACCCTGGCTGGGTAGTTCAGTTGGTTAGAGTGTCATCCCAATACGCCAAGGTTGTGGGTTCAATCTCTGGTCAAGGCACATAGAGGAAGCAATCAATGAATGCATAAATAAGTGGAACAACAAATTGATATTTCTCTCTCTATATATAATCAATTAAAAAATTAAAAAATACTCAAGACATTTATAATAGTGTTCAAAACATTTTCTGTCCATGTTTTGTAAAGTTATATTTTTTGAGTAAGTTATAGGCTATCAACTAATTAAATGAGCTAATAGGAAGTGTCTTGTATTTAGTAGCCTAGCACATCATAGATGCTCGACATTATTTGAGCTCTTTCTATATCCCTGGGCCTTTTATATTGATTTTTATTATTGTAGGAAAAATTTAAGATCTGAATATAGTTATACCCATAAAAATGCATATCTAAATATCTACCTCCTCTACTCATTCCAATAAATAACACATTATTCATGTAAGAAATGGTCACCATGCTTCAAAAATATAATAATACCATGCACCAGGCCAAAAGGTAAGTAAATCCTTGCTTAACATATAAAATTTACTTTAGGAAAAAATATTTTTTAAATTTATTTTTTCCTTTATTTTTTTATTCTTTCCATTACCATTTATCCCCCTATACCCTCTTCCCCTGCTCCTCACCCCCTCCTGCAATTAGCACACTGTTATTTGTCAATGAGTTCTTTACCTTTGTTTTTTCCCCTCAATCCCTCCACTCACTCCCCCACCCTAACCAGAGCTCTCTGCCTGCTCTCTATCTATGAATCTGTCTCTATTTTGCTTGTTAGATCAGTTTGTTCATTAAATCCCACACATGAGTGAAATCCTATGGTCTCTGACTGGCTTATTTCACTTAGCATAATGTTCTCCAGGTCCACCCATGCTACCACAAAGGATAAAATTTTCTTCATTTTTACAGCTGAGTAGTATTCCATTGTGTAAAAGTACCATAGAAAAAATCTTTAGGCAAAACTCAGTCAAAAGAGTCTGCTGAACAGCAAATTCTGGCCTCTCTACAACCTATACAGGAGCCACACTGTCTACCCGCCCTTCATTCATTTCTCTCAATGTAAGCTTAGGGGCGGGAGGTGGGGCATTAAAAAGTTGGATGGGGACCCAGTTTTTTACAGAATTCCCTTCCAACTTATAAGCAACCTGGTATAAGGAATATGTTGCCATACGCTAAAGCAGAAAAATGGCATGGTGCCTGCAGATGCCCCCTCACAAATTCTTGACTTTATCTGGAAGAATATAAAGAATGAAGTATATAAAGAATGATGATTGCTTATATAAATCATCAAAATAGCCAGTTAGTACACATAACCAAGGCAAAAAATGCCAGTGAAAGTAATCTATTGTACTGACTGATAAATTACAGATTGCACATTCCACTGATTATTATTATTATTTTTTTTTTATATATTTTTATTGATTTTTTACAGAGAGGAAGGGAGAGAGATAGAGAGTTAGAAACATCGATGAGAGAGAAACATCGATCAGCTGCCTCCTGCACATCCCCCACTGGGGATATGCCCGCAACCCAGGTACATGCCCTTGACCGGAATCGAACCCGGGACCCTTCCGTCCACAGGCCGACGCTCTATCCACTGAGCCAAACCGGTTTCGGCTCCACTGATTATTTTTATATCATATATATTCCCAGACCACTCTTCCGCTTTTGTTCAAAACCCAGAAGCATGGAGTAGAGAAACCCTTCAGTGCGCACCTCTCTCCCTACAAGGCTAGTGAGGTGCTCCAAGGAAGTCCACCTTTCCTTTTAATATAGTTAGAAGAGACAATATTTTAAGCAGACCCCTTTCTTCCTAAGGGAGAGGGGAGGGAGATCTCCTAAGACAATCTTCAAAGAGTCAATTAAGTTATAAGGGCATTTTCTAAAAGGAATTAAAATCAACTCCCCCCCCCCCCTTTTTCTATTGATATAACACTGAGTCCAGGAAGGCTAAAATAATAACCACAAAAATTACCACCAGTGCTTTCTCAATTGGGAGTTGATATTACAATCTGGTTTTGAAGTGTATAGCTGGATATAAAGAAAATAAACCAGTCAACAATAATTTTTAAATGTAAGTGAAATTTCTCTCATTTTAAAGTTGATTAGAATAACTATATAAAATTACTATGAGGGGGAAAATAATTAAAAAAGGTAATAAAATGTATGTTATATTTTCTATTTACAGATGTAGAAGAGATAAAATATAGAACTGCTTTTCAAAAGAACTGACTGTAAAATGCAGAACAATTTAATTGAGCTTTTAGATATTTTAAAAAGTGACCTCTAAATATTTTCCGATGATGTTATTCCAGTTGTTTTTTATTTAAATAGTCTGAAATAACATGTAAGCATGGAGTAGACAAACCCTTCATGGGGTTGCAGCAAAAGAAAGAAAGAAAGAAAGAAAGATTTCCAAATTAATGCTTTCAAATCCTTTGTTCTCATTGTGCATCAGAAAGTCTGAGTGCAGCATGTAAAATACAAAGGAAAGTGAAAATGCAGTTGAACTGAATACTGTATTTTGCTTTTTAAACTCCAGTTCCCCAATTTATATTCCACATTTAAGACTGTTGAGGAAGAAAAACAAAATAATTAAAAATGTAAATATTCTCAAATTTAATCCCTTTATTTCTGCATTCATGTCAGCGTTACTGGGGGCATTATATGGTCTCCTAGCATATAATTAAGAAGGTGGCAAAGGTCAAACATGAAGAAAATGCTTGCTCCCCCCCATAATATTCTATTAAAAATAATTTATATATGCTGCTCTGTCATACACTACAAGTTTGATAGATAGCATTAAAAGCTAAAGTAAACACTGTACAGGCTATATAATAATAAATCCTTTAACATGTATAAGACTAAATATAGTTAGCCTTAAATATAAAACAATTATGTTTGTTTGTTTTTGCAATATGAAACATAAAGCTGTCCAGCAAAAATTTTTTTCAAAAAAATACACACTAAAATTCTATACTGAGTTCTTAGAGGTATTGTTCATAATCATAATACAAATGTAAAGCCCTTCAAAAATGCACCAAATATGAACTGTCTAAAAGCTAAGAGATGATTTCTGAGAGGATTGGGAGGGTTTCCTTTATTACCCTTTATCCTTTTCTATATTAAATTTCAAGCCATGAAATGGTTAGCAAAATTTAAATGAAAATCTGCATAAAAAAGAATTCAGACCATCCATAGATTAAAAGGGAGATGGGGAATCATAATTACTTGGACAATTAAAACTGAAATAAGTTTTCTTAGACTGCAGGCAAATCTCCCAGCAAATAGTAACATTTCCTTTAAAAAGAAACAAACAAAATGAAAACATATTTCAATCTGCATTCTTAAAGCAATGAAAAAGGACTCTTAAAAATAATGTACTGTGATATACTCAAATGTTCAAGAGTAAATGTCGACCTTGGAAGTGATGCTTCATTAGGACCGAAAAAGGTTTTTACCTCCTGCTTCTATTACAGAGACCACCAGGCTAGCAGCAGCCAGGGGCATGCAAGAAGCCTGCCAAGCAGGAACACAATTATACTAAAGTCA